ATTATTTTTGAACCCGGACCAATTTTATATATGACGTAATAACATTTTGGTCTGGATCCAAAAATAATTACCCATATGTTCTGAATTTATAATTTTTTAAAATCTTGCGTTTAATGACAACGCCCTAAATATATTATCAAAGATACAATATTTATTAATTTATAATCAATATATAAATTTTAACTAAACTAATCAGGCATCAGGCATTTCTATATCCGGCAACAAATTTTCTGTGTTTAATTTTTTTAAAAGTTCAATAGCTTTAGGATATTGTTTTAAAGCAGCCAATCTGGCATAATGCTTAGCTTTTCCTTATTAATTTGTTCATTATTTAGTCCCTCCATATAAATCATTCCCAAATTATAAAGTGCAATTTCATTTCCATTATCATCAGACATTTTAATATATTTAATTATTTCGGAATACTCTATTGAGCCATTTTCTATCAAGGTAAATGCATATCGAAGTTGAGCTTCAGGGACATCATTATCAGCAGCTTCTTTGAAAAGTTTAAGAGCAGCATTCGTATCTTTTTCAACATGATATCCACTTAACAAATAATATCCCTTCCAATACTTTGCAAGATTATTTCCACAATTAGCAAGACCAGAAAAACATTCCCAAGCAACTTCATAGTTCTTTTCTCGATGAGCTTTATATCCCATTTCAAAAGGAATTAAAGTTTTATTAACATAAATACTATCCAAAGAAAGCCTCTTACAATCCCCTGAAAAATTTTCAGCATTGCATTTATTGATATCTTCTTCCAGGTTATAGATTGGAATATTATTGTCAACAAAATTTTTAGGAAGTATCATGGGACTAGCTCCTTTAGGAACATATTTTTCATAAGCTTCTCGAAGAGTTGTTAATACATTTATGACCCTTGGACGTTGACTGGGAGAGTGATGCCAAGCTTAAATAATAAAATCTTATGGTTAGATGAATTGATTGATGCAAATATAAAAATAAGTTCATAAAGATTACCCTTCTTAATAATTTTAAAAAGTTCTCGCGAGATTGGACTTGGATCAAGCATTATTTTCTCTCATTTATTAGTACGGACAAGTTGTTCAATTTCAGGCACTGAATTAATATTTTCATATGGAATTCGCTGGTGACAGAGTTCCCATAGAAGCATCCCAAAACTTAATTACAGAAACAATGAGGTCACATTGAAATACGTAACAATTTTTTAAAATATTTAAAATGCATACCTGTACATTTCACATTGATGATCATATGGAACAGCAGAATTATATTGTGAGTCACTTATTTTTTCTGGAGCTAACCATCGAACCATGTTTACGATGTCCTCTATTCTCACAGATATCTCTTTCTCATGTCTATTCAACCAAAAATTCGAAATTTTTGGTTCATAACTTTCGGTAACCTTTTTAAAATAAAGATTGCTATTTTAATAAAAATATTTGTGCAGTACCCAATAAAAATCCGATGCTTTAATTTCTTAAAGGCTCTGATTTCTATTGATAGTTGCAATTTTTAATTAAAATGAGTTTTTACATACTAATATATTTTCACAGCGAATATCATGATGTAAAATATTGCATTGATGTATGAATAAAAGACCATAGCATATATCACGAGCAAGTTTAAGTTTAGTGCGCCAATCAATTGAATTCGCTGTATACAACTTTCGCAGATTACCATTTAGTGCCCAATCAAAAACAATAACAGGGTTATTATCTATTTTTGAATGACCATGAAAGCCAAAAATATATGGACAAGTCCCTAATCTACGTAAGATAGCAAACGCGACATAAGATTTTATATCATTTTTCTCAGCAAAAAACCTTTTACATGCAACTTTAACTCCCCGATAGTTTCTTTTGAGGATAGTTCTTCCGGAATCATTTTCTAATGGAACTAGACAAAGTTCCCGTGGATTTATTTCGGGCTCTCTATAGGCTTCTATTAATGTGGGATCAATAAAGGTGGTTCGCCTCATAAGTTGATCAAATTTTTCGGATAATTGAGCTAATTCTTTCTTCTGTTCACAAAAATAATCATTCATATTCTAATCTCACAAGTTCAAATGTTTTAAAGATTAATTAAATATGCAATGTGCAAAATAGTGATACAGTAGATCATGATGATTACCTTAGTTAAGACGTTAATATCCTCCATAACTCTTTTATTTTCTAACTCCTTTTTATTTAGATCATAAATAGCCAAAGTGAAATTTAAATCTCTGCATACTTCTTCAAATTTTTTAATATTTTTATCAAATGCTTCTTTAACGGCGTTTGCAGCCAAAAACTTTTGCAGGTTTGAAAGTTGAGTAACTTCATTCACAAATTTATTTATATTCTCTAAAACAACTATAAATCTAATCCATGCATTATAGTAGTCTTGTTTTTTAAAAAGTTCTTCATATTCCATTTGTTGTCTTTCTAACGATCTAGTTGCTTGTTGAGCAATTTCAACACGATCAATTAAAGCTAAACAAATTTTTTGATTGCATTTTCCATTTTTATAAGCTCTCATTATTGAATCTGCAATAGTTGTAACAGATTGAAAAAATTGAAGAAATGGTTTAGCTGCCTCTCCAACAACCTGAAAACCATCATCAACATTATCAATTATGCTATTGTTTATTTCATATTCGTTATCGTCTGTTTTTCTTTTTTTTTTGTTTTCGCCAGACTTCATTGTGTTTTTTTTATCTCCACCAACTTGGGGATTTACTTTACCATCACTATTTGAATGTAATTTATAATCATTATTCTCGTTTATTTTTCTTCTTTTATTATTTTCATCAGATTTCATGGTATCTTCTTTAATGTCATCCATATCAAGAATAAGTTGTTCCAAATCATTAAGAATTAATTTTGTTTCTGGACGATTAATTGGAACATGATCCCAAGTTGGTGGAGATAAAAAAAACACAATGAAGTCTGGCGAAAACAAAAAAAAAAGAAAAACAGACGATAACGAATATGAAATAAACAATAGCATAATTGATAATGTTGATGATGGTTTTCAGGTTGTTGGAGAGGCAGCTAAACCATTTCTTCAATTTTTTCAATCTGTTACAACTATTGCAGATTCAATAATGAGAGCTTATAAAAATGGAAAATGCAATCAAAAAATTTGTTTAGCTTTAATTGATCGTGTTGAAATTGCTCAACAAGCAACTAGATCGTTAGAAAGACAACAAATGGAATATGAAGAACTTTTTAAAAAACAAGACTACTATAATGCATGGATTAGATTTATAGTTGTTTTAGAGAATATAAATAAATTTGTGAATGAAGTTACTCAACTTTCAAACCTGCAAAAGTTTTTGGCTGCAAACGCCGTTAAAGAAGCATTTGATAAAAATATTAAAAAATTTGAAGAAGTATGCAGAGATTTAAATTTCACTTTGGCTATTTATGATCTAAATAAAAAGGAGTTAGAAAATAAAAGAGTTATGGAGGATATTAACGTCTTAACTAAGGTAATCATCATGATCTACTGTATCACTATTTTGCACATTGCATATTTAATTAATCTTTAAAACATTTGAACTTGTGAGATTAGAATATGAATGATTATTTTTGTGAACAGAAGAAAGAATTAGCTCAATTATCCGAAAAATTTGATCAACTTATGAGGCGAACCACCTTTATTGATCCCACATTAATAGAAGCCTATAGAGAGCCCGAAATAAATCCACGGGAACTTTGTCTAGTTCCATTAGAAAATGATTCCGGAAGAACTATCCTCAAAAGAAACTATCGGGGAGTTAAAGTTGCATGTAAAAGGTTTTTTGCTGAGAAAAATGATATAAAATCTTATGTCGCGTTTGCTATCTTACGTAGATTAGGGACTTGTCCATATATTTTTGGCTTTCATGGTCATTCAAAAATAGATAATAACCCTGTTATTGTTTTTGATTGGGCACTAAATGGTAATCTGCGAAAGTTGTATACAGCGAATTCAATTGATTGGCGCACTAAACTTAAACTTGCTCGTGATATATGCTATGGTCTTTTATTCATACATCAATGCAATATTTTACATCATGATATTCGCTGTGAAAATATATTAGTATGTAAAAACTCATTTTAATTAAAAATTGCAACTATCAATAGAAATCAGAGCCTTTAAGAAATTAAAGCATCGGATTTTTATTGGGTACTGCACAAATATTTTTATTAAAATAGCAATCTTTATTTTAAAAAGGTTACCGAAAGTTATGAACCAAAAATTTCGAATTTTTGGTTGAATAGACATGAGAAAGAGATATCTGTGAGAATAGAGGACATCGTAAACATGGTTCGATGGTTAGCTCCAGAAAAAATAAGTGACTCACAATATAATTCTGCTGTTCCATATGATCATCAATGTGAAATGTACAGGTATGCATTTTAAATATTTTAAAAAATTGTTACGTATTTCAATGTGACCTCATTGTTTCTGTAATTAAGTTTTGGGATGCTTCTATGGGAACTCTGTCACCAGCGAATTCCATATGAAAATATTAATTCAGTGCCTGAAATTGAACAACTTGTCCGTACTAATAAATGAGAGAAAATAATGCTTGATCCAAGTCCAATCTCGCGAGAACTTTTTAAAATTATTAAGAAGGGTAATCTTTATGAACTTATTTTTATATTTGCATCAATCAATTCATCTAACCATAAGATTTTATTATTTAAGCTTGGCATCACTCTCCCAGTCAACGTCCAAGGGTCATAAATGTATTAACAACTCTTCGAGAAGCTTATGAAAAATATGTTCCTAAAGGAGCTAGTCCCATGATACTTCCTAAAAATTTTGTTGACAATAATATTCCAATCTATAACCTGGAAGAAGATATCAATAAATGCAATGCTGAAAATTTTTCAGGGGATTGTAAGAGGCTTTCTTTGGATAGTATTTATGTTAATAAAACTTTAATTCCTTTTGAAATGGGATATAAAGCTCATCGAGAAAAGAACTATGAAGTTGCTTGGGAATGTTTTTCTGGTCTTGCTAATTGTGGAAATAATCTTGCAAAGTATTGGAAGGGATATTATTTGTTAAGTGGATATCATGTTGAAAAAGATACGAATGCTGCTCTTAAACTTTTCAAAGAAGCTGCTGATAATGATGTCCCTGAAGCTCAACTTCGATATGCATTTACCTTGATAGAAAATGGCTCAATAGAGTATTCCGAAATAATTAAATATATTAAAATGTCTGATGATAATGGAAATGAAATTGCACTTTATAATTTGGGAATGATTTATATGGAGGGACTAAATAATGAACAAATTAATAAGGAAAAGCTAAGCATTATGCCAGATTGGCTGCTTTAAAACAATATCCTAAAGCTATTGAACTTTTAAAAAAATTAAACACAGAAAATTTGTTGCCGGATATAGAAATGCCTGATGCCTGATTAGTTTAGTTAAAATTTATATATTGATTATAAATTAATAAATATTGTATCTTTGATAATATATTTAGGGCGTTGTCATTAAACGCAAGATTTTAAAAAATTATAAATTCAGAACATATGGGTAATTATTTTTGGATCCAGACCAAAATGTTATTACGTCATATATAAAATTGGTCCGGGTTCAAAAATAAT